TCTCTCTCTCTCTCTCTCCTCTCTCTTCTCTCTTTCCTCTTTTCCTCTTCCCTCTCCCTTCCCTCTCTCCTCTTTCCTCCCTCTCTCTCTCTATGTATAAGTATATATAGAGAAGGACCTTATCATCCAAATTCGTATCCATGCAGATTGCAAACCAAGTAACTGAGGCTTAAACGACTGGTGTAGGAACTGAGAAGGAATGGAGAACTACTCAACGTCCTCGATTTTTTTTTTTTTTTTTTATTACGAGGAGCAAGATTTTTAGAATTATGAAGTAGGCAATACATGTCATGCCTTAGGAATTCAAATATATATTCAATATTTCGACTGAAATTACCCATTTGACTGTTAGAAAACTTTTCAATGGGGAAGAAATACAAAAAACTGAGTCATGGAAGCCTCGCGGTGCCGACTGAAGGTCTGAACGGCAGAAAAACCTTGAAACGTGAAGTAAATCAGTAATGTGGCCTGTGATAACTGGCCTATGAATTTTTAATGTTTGAAATATGCATATGAAAGGGTGGCGTCCAAAGTTTAAGAGAAATTATTTAAATTACATATGATTTTATGCTCATAACCAAGAAGTACTGTACACACACACACACACACACAAACACGCACGCTCGCGCTTGTGACCGTATTAGTGAAAAACCAATTTTGCTACACGTTGCGCACGGACAATATAAATTGGGTGTGAAAACACCGAAGGGCGCGTAATTTAATTTATCATCTGAACCTCACACTTAACGGTTAAAAGAAAGAAAAAAAAGAAAAGAATTAATGAAACGTGACCGAAACTGAAGGGCCATCGATACTGACATGCCAGGCACTATCCCACAATCGCTAAACCTGTCTAATCGCCCTTGTTAGATGTGTAACCTATAACTGGCAAAGAAACCGTAAAATGGGGGCCTCGTTGGAACCGTTATCTCCCACATTTGCACACGTGGCCTGGGGAGAGGTTAAACTTCATTTTGCACGTATAAAGGGGATTGCGACACGACAGTAGCACTGGGGAAGGGGGTTCGAATTTAACAGTTGATGTGGGGAAAAAATCCCCAGCACCAAAATCCTACGAGTGTACCTCCTCCCTTCCAAAGATCAGAAGTAAAGGAATGTATCAGTTCCAGCCCCTCCTGGAGGAGGTGCAGTTCTGTCCTACTACAAGTCTTCGAGGAGTTGAATGAAGACAAAGAATTCTTTCATAAAGAATTTGTTATTGTGGAAATCAAAGTCAAAAATATTCATGATAGACAACAGACATGACAGGACACATGAGCGTAAGGTATTTCCACCAAACATATTTTATTTTTGTTTTGGGGACGGGAGAAGCGATACCATACGCAATGAAAGACAAATTTATTTGTATTTGTTTTTTGCTATTTTTTTTTCGCGGACGTCACAATATCGGCGGGAAATTAGAACGAAAAAGATTCGGGATTTTCACTTTTTTTTTTCATTTTCCTGGAAATGAATGTCGGCGGGCCCGCTATTCAAGAAAACAAAATGCTGTGGCTTAATGTCGGCGTGGTACTTTGATTTTGAATTTGGGGAGAAGGAGAAGGTCCTAGAAATCGTAAAATTTGTCAAATGACCCACATTTATATATTCTGCACAGTGGAAATTAATCTTTAAACGTATCTGATTTATCCTATTCTTACCTTCCCATTCGTTTTCTTCCTCCTCGTCATAGAGCATGTCCATGAAAACGTCTCTCAGCGTGTCTTGAATTCCCCCGTATCTTGGAGGCGAAGGAGCAGCCTTGGAGACGAGGCGGACGGGACCTGCATCTCGGAAGGCGCATCCGATTCTGCGTAGAAATATTTTAAGATTTAGTTTTAATTCTATTAATTACGATGGATTTTTTTTTTTTTTTTTTGCTGTGACATGTCTGTTTTATTTGCCCAAATCCCCCCTTTGAGCAAGGAATGGCCGGGGTTACCACTCACTGGGGGTGGGATCGAACGCTGGTCCGCAAGATTGCTCGACCAGCACCTTGTAATCACACCAATCTGAGGTACATTAAGATTGGTGTGATTGCAGGTACGTTTGGACTGCAAATTAGGAAAGTCATGTGCAAAAGTTCACGAAAATATATCTAGTAAGTGTTTGTGATTATCTATTTATCATACGTAATAGTTTTATCCTTCTATGTCACCATCGTACATGGGATGTAGTTAAAAGCAATGAATTTCTAAAGAATACAGGAAACAAGAAGTATTTTGTCAGTAACAGATATTCGCCATTCTGTTTGCGGCTAAAGTACAAAAAAAGGAAAAAAAAAAGAAAAATGAATAACTAGAAACACTCGGAAAGTGCATACCTCCGTCAAGGGAATAAGGTCACATACTTTAAAAATATTCACACAAAAGAATTTCATTAAGATCATTTTTCTCAAGTACACAGGTGACCTCAGTAAACATAACCTCCCTGGCAGAGGCAAGGCAATACGGGTAATGATAATCCTGGATCTGAATCACCACCAAAATTTAATGGAATTTAAGTTAAGCTAAGGCACAAATCTGGTAAAAATTTCATAAAAATCTGTTCATATTTTTTGGGGTTATCCTGCTAAGAAACAAACAAATAATGACCGGATCGCCTCCAAAATTTAATGGCCATGTTAGGCTGACACGCCTCTGGTAAAAAAAAATCAGAAAAATCTATTCATGATATTTTGTTATCCAGCTAACCAACGAATAAACAAAATAAAACTAACCAACGCGACCAAAAACATAACCTCCTTGGCGGCAATAATAATAATAATATTAATAAATAAATAAGCGACATTTAACAAACGTTAATAAATAAAGTCCTCACAGCATGAAGGGTTAGGACACTCACATTAACAAGATCCCGAAGAGAACGAGCGCGGGAAAATAACGTAAAAAGCCGTTGCGCAGTTTCATTGCCGAAGCGACCCCTTGCTCTCTCCGCCAGCGATCACGCCTTTCGACTCCGGAGTTCCAACGTCAAGTGTGGCGCCTTCGGATAATCTATGCATGAGAGTTGTAAGTGGTACATACACGTGTACCTTATTCAACTTTTTTTTTTTACCTTTCGGGCTTCGAAGATCTTATAATCCAGTTTAGGTTATTTTGATTTACCTGAATTATAGATATAATATGGACGATACGCCAGAATTAGAAGATTTGCAAACACCTGTAGCGCGCGCGCACGCACACACACACACACACACACACACACACACACACACACACACACACACACACACACACACACACACACACACACACACACACACACACACACACACACACACACACACAGCAGACGAATGTCGGAGACTATAAACCTCCATAGCGACGATTTCGCAGATGCCATATTGGGAATTTTCTCCAATTATTGTCAGTCTTCGTCAGGGTTGCAACGCGGTAACATCTCCCGACTTACAAATGGTTGTTGTATTCCATTTCTTAATCGTTGCTTCTCTATCAGTTCTAGTATTTTACATAATTTATCTGACTCTTATTGTCATATCAGTTGACAGCGTATGACAAAGATAACGAGGATGTCGATGATGATGATCATATTTTAGTGATAGATGATGATGATGAAAGATAATATCACGATGATGATAATAATGATAAATGATAATAATAATGATAATAATAATAATAATAATTGTGATAATGGTGGTAATAAAGAGAATAGTAAAGATAATCGTAATAATGATAGTAGTAATGAAAACAGTAATGATAACAATGATCATAATGATATCAATAACAATAATCATAATTATGAAAATAATGATAATAATAATGACAATGATATTGATAATGATAATGATGATGATAACAGTGATAATGATATGATAATAACAATGACAATGGTATTCATGATAATAATAATTATAATAATGAGAGTAATGAATAATGATAATGATGATGATGATGATGACGATGACGGTGATGATTATGATAGTAGTAGTAATAGTAATTATAATAATGATAATAATAGTAATAACAATATTGATGATTATTACAATAATAATGATAATGATAATGATAACAATGATGATAATAAAAATGATAATAATGATAATAGAAATAATGATAATAATCATGATAATAACACCAGTAACAACAACAACAATAATAATAATAATAATAATAAGACAATAGTAAAAGCAACTACAACAACATGAATAGTAATAATAACAACAATGATAATAGTAAAATTAATGATAATAATAAAGACTATTATAATATACACTGATAATGATAGTGACAATACTGATAATAATAATAATGATAATAACAAAAATAAGGATAAGGATAATAATGATAATACCAATGTTTATAATAATAATAGCACTAGTATGATAATAATGATAATAATAACAATGATAATAATGATCATAACTATAATAATATTGACGATAATAATCATTGTTGCAATAATAGGGATGATGAAGATGATAATAATAACTATGATAATATTAATCATAACAATAATAATTATTATTATCATGATAATAATAATAGTAATGAGAATGATGATTGTGATAATAGTAATAATTATCATAATAATAATGTTAATAAAAATACTAATAACAATGACCATAATAACAATAATAAAAACAACAGCAACAAAAATAATGATAAAAATAATTATAATAATAATATTATTGATAATATATAATACCTATTAGTGATAATAGTAATTATCATGATGATAACAACAATGATGATATTGATGTAAATGATAATAAAGACTGATATTAATTATAATGAAAACGATAATTATAAAGATAATAATAATAGTAATTCATGACAATGGTAATGATGATAATGATAATAATATCAATAATACTGATAAAATAATTATTAATTTTCACGGTCTTCTCGCCTTTCCCTCTCCTTTTCTCTTTCTTCTCCAACCCCTTCCACTATCCCCTTCCTAAGATGTGAGAGCCGTGTTGAGAGGATTAAAGGGTGACTTTGTGCCAGCCATGGACGGTCTAGGGGAGACATGGGTACGGCATTCCCCTGTTTTAGTTGCCTATCCCTTACTTCTCAGGGGAGCCTGAGGGGTCGACCATTTCTCTTCCCAACATACTACTGTAATGAAGGTTTTGTGCCTTCATTAAGGGCAATGAGGTTTGCCCCTTTATCGTCTAGCTCCGCTGATTTTGATTTTCTCGCTTACCTGACCCCAGGCTCTCCTTTGACCACGACTCTGGGCACTACTTCTGTCTCCTCCTAAATGCCTACTGTCCTTAGTAATACTTCATTTAACACCACTCCCTCTTCCATAAGGCCCCGTTCTTCTACTACACTCACCTCTACAAACCTTTTGAACGCTCTGTTTAGCACAACCAAATGAGATCGTTTTTTGTGACCCCCGCTACGGCTCCTTACTCTGACAGCTCTCTCCTCTGCCAGCAATGCCTCCTAAAACAAGTAGGTTAAGTTTCCTTCCGCCAGCCCTGCCTCGTACCTCCAATACTTGTACTGGAACAATCTCTCCAGCAGACTGCCCTGTCTATAACAACGATTGGTCAGACTGTGGAGACTTACTCGCCTGCCTCGTCGACTATAATATAGTATCAATACAATGCTACATTGGCTGCCGTAAGTCCTTCATCAATATTGTCAAGATTACTTTCCGCAAACCTGACCTCTCCCACAATGTTTATATATTGGCGGAGAATTCCTCCGTGTCCGATCATGTCACCCCCCCCCCCCCTTTGTCAATGCCAGAATTGTTGGCGTCTAGGCCACTCTACCGAACACTGCCGCTCACAGCTCGATGCCCAATGTGTGCTTAACCTAGGCACGATCAGTCAAACTGCACTACATAATTACACATGTTTGCCACTTGTGATGACTCCCATAATGTATTTTATGAGTTGCCCAACCTACAAGATTCAAACTTCGCTTCATGCCATACAAGGAGCACGCAGACGAGGGTTTTCTCCGCTCCTCCCCCTTCCTCTCAAGATGTTTCTACATTCCCCGGTACCTCTTTCTCATCCCGCTTCTACCCCCTCCGTCCCTCTCCTTCTCTCATTATAAATCCAGAAACCCGAATCTCAACCACTTTTCTAGATCCAGACACTCCACTCTCATCCACCCTTTTCATGCTCTCCCATTATTATCATTGCTTCCGACAAGGAGTTTTTTTTAGGAATTTTTTATTTATTTATTTATTATTTTCATTTTTTTAACCAGAGGTGTGCTTTAGCGGAACTTAGATGCTATTAAATTTTGGTGATGATCCGGATCCTACACAAGATAACAAAAAAATTATCAACAATTTTTTTATGAAACGTTTCCGAGAGGTGTAACTAATTCCAAATTGGATGCCATTAAATATTAGTGTTGATCCGGATCATAAATGTTGAATGTAATTCGTCAAGTGTGAATATTTTTATTGCATCAGGAACGCTAAAAATGAACCAACGCTACCAAAAAGATAATTTCCTTGGCGGAGGTATGCGCTCTCTGAGTGCATGTAGTTCATTATTGTTATTATTATTATTATTATTAAAATGATGATAATAAATAACAATGCTAATAATGATAACGATATTATTATTACTATGATCCCCGCCAACAGTGGGCATGGGAATGGGGGTGATAACGATGATGATGATAATGATAACAACGATAATGATAGTGATGGTAGTAATATCAATAATAGCACCAACAATTATAAAAATAGTATTAATGATAATAGTGATGGTGAACATCAACAACAAAAATAATGAAAATTAGTTATAATGAAGTTTATTTGCCAGACTTTTGTTTCAAAAGTAAAATTGTGGCTTTACAACATTGAGACTTAAATGCCTAATGCGGTAAGATTTAGCTGACATATGATACTTACCTGTATCGCATTTTGGATAACGGCTTTTAACATTACCCATCTCTGCGGAAATGTTTCATAAGACTGACGAAAATCAAGAAGTTTCACAATATTTTGCGTAGGCTACGATGTTTAGTGGCAGACTTTCCTGTGAAAGACTCCCATCGATCTTGTGTGTTGCGGGGGGGGGGGGGATCAGTTGGAGTTTTAGCCTTCTGGGAATAACGTTTTTGATCATTAGCATTCAGATCGGGCGTATCGTGAACCTCGGCCAAGCCATTACTTACTTATGATCTGACCTCACTTTTTTTCTTTTTTCACACCACTCAAAACAGGTGTGCATTTCCTAATATTCATAAGGGCACAATTTTATTTGTTGCTTTTCGGATTCGCCGCTCCGATTTGTTGCATTTTGAAAAAAATAAGGCCGGACCAGAAACCACTCCAGGTTTTTCTTTCGTAAACCTATAAATATTACTATCAGAGGCACATGCAGCCGGAAACCAATCTGAGCTTCTTTGTAGTCACATGCTAGAGGACAACCAATCAGGAAGCATCTTATCTTTGAGAACAATATGGCGCCTCTGGTTATGGTGTGTTGGTGTGCGCCACTTTAAAACTCTAGAACTAATCTAGACTCTTAGCTTGAAACTATAGATTCAGAGTTCAGGTGTAGAGTAGTTTAAAGTATGTAGTCAGTAGAGCAGATCAATGTTTGCTTTGTAAAGCTGAAACTTTTGAATGTCTAAGACCACCGAATAGCATTGGAAAGAGACCGGACACAGCACAGCAAACTTTTGTACAGGTTTTGATTTTTAGGTACGGGTTTTCTTTCTTTCTTTAATGTTACTGGATGATACATTCACTCTCTCTCTCTCTCTCTCTCTCTCTCACACACACACACACTCACTAAGAATGACATGGTTATTTTAACAAAGTTTTATTTATAGAAAATAAACCTATTTTTCCTTGTATTTTTGTGCCAGGAAATTAATAAACTTGTTCGAATATTAGGCCAAATTTCTCACATTTATAAAATATAACACGATTTGTGGGAAGACCAAAGAAAAAATATATAAGCATCTTTATTAAAAAATAACAAAAGTCAAATGATTTGCTTCGTAATCCTAAAAAAATTATATTATCACACTGACACATTGTAAGTGCAACTCTGATTCCATACAATCTTCAGAAATTAAGGGAAATATTTATTTGCTTCATCCACATAAAGAAGCCCTTCTATTACAACTTTGGTTGAAATAATCCTATTACAAAAATCACTCTTGCTGTTAATCTCAATTATCCCTGAAGCAAGATAATGCGATTCTGTGAAACACTCTCAAGCTCCTGGTTGTACTTCTTTAGGCGATCATTCAACTCTGCTGACAACTGAAATTTGGGAAAAGTTAATTAATGAATTAAAATTATCTGCCACATCAACAACCAAAGCAGTTTGCAAGAAATTTGAAGAAAATATTAAAATTCACTGTTTCTGTAAATATCAAATAGAAATAACTACTATTTATCTATTGGAATTCTTAAACTGAAAACATACATATACCAAAACATACTCAGATTTATTACCTTTGCAAAGTGTATGTCCTGCTGCACTTCCCGCAGTTCTAACAGCAGTTTATCAAGGGCTGTATATGGAAGCCACACTGGAGCAGCACCTGCATGCAAAGCATTTGGCAAACCAACCTGTAAATTGACACAAGATTGTAAGCAGAGTTAATTTTTCCTTAACTAAAACTTTCTCTTAACCACATTTTGGGCCTAATACAAATAGATAAATATTGCCCTAAAGAGGACTACTGTCCTGCGCTGGAATGTGTGAAGACATATTCAAAAGCAATGCTATTATAGGAATTGTTAAAGAGCAGCAGATAACTCAAAAACATGAGGCATTCTCTCTACTAACACAAAATGGTACCAACAATGTAGGTGGAAGCAACACAGGCTATAGAAACTTATCATCTGCGCTGACATATATAATTTTCTATTTCCAACAAGTCACGTCTGCTTATTTAAACCCATACAGAAGAAACTTTGAAGATGACCAACCAATCAATGTTTGAGAAAATGAAAAAAATCAACAGGCAGATGATGTTAACTAGTAGTACACCTTTTTCATGATAAGTCAAATTTTGGTAAGGCAAGAGTGTGTTAGGATACAATACTTCACACCTGGGTTATTGTGTAACTCATAGCCAGGCACACAAGGTGTCACACCAGCTGTGCAAACCAGGCTCTTAATGTCATTAGAAGTCACCTGTCGTCAGTGAATTTTTCCCTAAGATGTGAGAGGATGTTACCCAACATGAATGATTTAAAGAATTCTCAAGCCTTTTTAAGTCAACAGGAGTTTACTGTAAAAGTCTTTAAAAGAAAGAAAGAAAAAATTCTATACTTTGGTTAAACGAATAAAAAATCTTAAATGTAAATATATCTTTACATTACATTTATCAATTTGTAATAACAGTGGTTAAAAAAACAACAACAACAACAAAATAGTACAGAAAATGATGTTAAAAATAATTAACAATATCAATGTGCTTAATCTTTAATCACTTGATGCTTGGGGTTCATGTATAGATGTACTGACCACAGTAGTTTTAATGATTTTGTTTACATAGAAATGGGTCTATTCAATGAATGATGGAATAATGCACTACCACATTGATATGATAAATATATAACCTCTCAATTCGAACCCGCACTGCTGTTGCAGGTGACAGCAAGATGGTCACTCTAACCACTGAGATACACGACCCACTAAAAGGAGTGCAACTAGGAGCTACCTAGCTTCCATAGAGATTACCTATCTACTCATACGTGAGTACACTCTCCCCCTGGGCACTCGGTATATATCGAAAGAGCAGTTCAAATCCCAAATCAGAAATCCTGAGGTGTATTCAATGATGGAATAATGCCATACTGCATTGATATGATAAATATATAACCTCTCCGATATGCAGTCTTGCAGTGAGAGTTAAAATCCTTATTGGAGAAGTTATACATTCATAAATACTAGTTACTAGACCTCCTTGTTCTCACTTGTTCTTACCATTTATAATTTCTATTACTATAAGCATCAGCAATAAAGGTTTAATTATATTCAAGTTAATAGTAACAATAATAGTAATAGAAAAACTTTTCGCAAGAAAAATTCCAGGAATGATGTAAAAAGATATGATCAAGTAGGCTTCGTAATTAACCAAGTGTCTGAGAAACCATCAATGTGTAAACAGAGGAAAAGGAAGTAGTAGTAGTAGGAAGTGGAGGAGGAGAAGACACAGGGATGCTGTATGATCCTGGAGCTGATGGGTTAGTTGTCATTAGTAATTTTTTTATAGTGATTTACCTGTTCTGTTCCATGACCTAAAACACCGTCAATGTACTGGCAAGCAAGTTTTACTGCTTCTTCTAAGAGGCCGTGGCCAACGTACAACCTTAGAAGCTCGCCACAATTTCGTACCTATGAAGTAAACATTAATCTTTTAATTTTTCTTTAATCTATAAAGAATAAACAAACAAATGACAATCATCTTACAAGGAAACAACAAGAAATTAAAGAAAGAAACAAAGAAAAATTATATCCAAAAAGGTTTACTAATGCTGTTATTCACAAAACAGTTTCACTGATTCATATCCATGTTTATTTCTAAATTGATTTCAGTAGATCAAATCTGATAATTATATAAAAATATGCACAAATATTCTATCATGGCACTCTTTCACTGCAGTTGAACTAGTAAACATACCATGTAAGAGTTGACTAGCCAAGTGGGCAAAGTGGTTGAGTGTTGGAGGAGCACAGATGTCACAGCATGGTGAAGAACCGTTTGATTTGACTGTTCCTCTCCTTCCACCAACTCCCTGAGAAGGTTCCACCACATCTGTGCTTCTTCACTTTCCCCTGAGAGAGAGAGAGAGAGAGAAAAGAAAAATATGTAGCAACATTTGGCACTTCTCACCATCTGTTGAATTTCATATCACCAATGCATCAATAACATTACAAAATCTGAACACTCACTTAAAATTCCATTCTCATCTTGTGTGTTGGCTTTACTAAGAGTATTCTGAGGATGTATGCATGTGTGGGCTAATCCTTGAAGGATAGGAGCAATGGGTTGTTCAAAAAGTCTTGCAAGTCGTACTGCCTCAGTGAAAAGCCTGCCATGGGTTAGCAAACTAATGGTGTCTGCTGAACTAAGTGGGCCACCTGCAAACATTGGTTTAAAGTTATAGAAATATCAATTAAAATTAATTCACAATCACTAAAAAAACTGCTTCATTTTATACCGATTCATTACTATTTCACAATTTACAAAAACCCTACACTTGGCTTACCTGATGCTGTGGCATCAGGCTGTGTCTTGACAATCTTGAGCCTGGCATGCACTAACTCATACTCTCTCTCAATGTGTGGCAACTCTAAAACCTTGACTTGTGGGCGACGGCGACTGAGTGGGGGTGCTACTGACTCTCCATCGCTGCTTCGCTTGGGACTAATAGAATCTGGTGAATGAAAATATATTATGTGATGATAAAAAAGGATGAAGAAAAACTTATCAACTAGCTAGGGGGTCAAATTCAGCTGTCTAGAATATAGAATAGGTACATGGATGAGGAAACTACCAAACGAGTATTAAAGCCCAGCTATGGCTAGTTCTTGGGCAGCGAAAGCAAGACCCGCTAAACACCTGGGGAGGTACTTCACTATGAGTGTCCAGGGACACCTATGTGGACTTTTGCTTGTTGCAATCGTGCATACAGCATTTGATTATGACATTGTCCATAGATATGAGTTCGTGAATGTTTAAAGAACACTCGTATACCAATATCAGAAAAAAACTATATCAGTGATTTATAACTTTTTTTTTTTTTTTTTTTTTTTTTTTTTTTGATCAGGAAAAAACTGGTAGTGATGTACTGAAGAAGAGGGGGGGGGGGGGGTTAAAAAACTTTTTTGGGGTGCCCCCCCCATGAGGGTATGAGGTCAAAATTATATATGAGGTGGAGTGCAATTCTATGCTCTATTTTATACAAAAGGAATCAATGAGTTACCTCCAACCATTTTCTTTAATGCTTTAATGATGAAGTGAGTAGGGAGGTGGTCATTCCCCAGGACAATCCCCTTAAGCTACTAATCTGGTAGATGTTTAATAATCTTAATAAATTATGCCAAGCAAGAATTCTAAGCAAGTCCTAATTTCACTGTACTGGCAATATATTTTTGCTTTAACATTGTTAAACCACATAAAAAAAAAAAGAGGGAAGAGAAGTCAAGGAAGGAAGAAGGCATGAGAAAGAGGGAATGAAGGGAAAGGAAGGGAAAGAGAGGAAGGAAAGAATGGGAAAAGAGGGAAAGAGGGGAAGGGAGGGAAGGAGGGGAAGGGTAGAAGGAAAGAAAGTAAGGAGATGAGAGATGGAAGAGAAAAGAATAAAGAGAACAGAATAGAAGAAAGGAGGTGAAGAAGGTGAATAAAAGAAAAGAATTGGAGAGCAGAAAAAAAGATAGAGAAAGAGAGAAAGAAAAAAAAAATTAAGAAGGTTTTTGACTTTGGAATTAAGGAAGGAAAAAAGAGAGTAGGAGAGAGACGAACAAAGGAACAGAGAGAATGAAGGAAGAAGGAGGGAAAGAGGCAGAGAAAAGAAACAAAGGAAAACTGGAGAAGGAAGGAAAGAAGAGGGAAAGACAGAAAGGGAAGGAAAGGGAAAGAAGGATGAAAGAAAGAAGAGGAAGGGGAGGAGGCAGAGAGAAGATAGGAAAATGAGAAGGGACAGAAGGAAAGAAGGAAGAAGGAAAAAAGGGAAGGAACAGAAGGAAAGGAGGAGATGGAGTGTAAGGAATAAGAGAAAAGAAGAGGAAGGGGGAAAGGAGAAGAGGGAGAAAAGAGAAGGAGAGAATGAAAGAAGGAGAGAAAGACAAGGAAAAGAAAGGGAAGAGGAGAGATAAAATGGAAAGAAGAAAAAGAGGAGGAACGGAGGTAAAGACATGGAGAAGGTGGTAGAAAAGAAAGAGGAAGAGAGGGAGAGGGGAAGGGAACAAAAAAAAAAAGAGTAAGAAAAAGGGGAAGAGAGGGATGGGAAAGGGAGCAGAAAGAGAAAGGAAAGAAAAGACAGAAGAGTTGAGAGATAGAGAAGGAAAGGAAGATGAGGAGGCAGAGACATAGAAAAAGTGGGAAAGGAACAGCAAGAGGCTGGGAGTGAAGGAGAAGAGAGCAAGAAAAAGGAGAGGAGAGTAGAGAGTGGAGAAGAGAGATGGTGAGAGAGTGAGAGAGAGAACTGGGAGAGACAGGGAGATGATCACAGAGAGGGAGACGGAGAGAGAGAGAGAGGGAAATGCTGACAGAGGAAGAGGCTGAAGGAGAAATGACAAAGGTAAGAGCATTACTCGACTTTCGGTGGGCCATTTCTTGATCACCTTCGTCCTCTCCTGACTTTGGTAGCGGTTTGATAATCCATGCTTGCTGAGGTGGAATATGACGGAGGCAGTTGAGGCAAGCAAGATAACACTTTGCCTGCTGTTGGAGTCCCTTCTCCCCAACTCCCTCAATATTCAGCCGCAGAGCACATTCATACATGACACTCGCAGCTGAAAAAAGAGAAGGGATTGCAGGCTATTATGAAATGAAAGCTCTTGATATCAAATAATATTCAGATTACAATATTTGCTTCGAAGTCTAATACCACAGATCATGTTTAAAAATATTGAAGGAAATCTTTAATTCCTTTCTTTTTTCTTTTAAAATATGCTGTCTTACCAATGCTTACCCATGAGACCATACAAAAATAAGTAAAATGATAAGGCGAGTCAAATTTACTCTTAAATGGGGAAAAAATGTAATCACAATAACCTTTCAGAGAATTCAGTTGTTGAATTCCTAGCTTATATAATAACATTTACAAGAAACTTTACCTTTTTTGTAGTTGTGCTTGGAGATGTGGAAGGCATACAGGAGATCATAATAATTGTTAACAAGTATGTCAGCTGATCGAGCCCGACTCTCCAGGATGTTAATAACATCTGCCTCAAGACTGCCATACTGGTAGTTGACTAAGGTGGTTAGGCATCTGTTAAATTAAAATAAAACCTTATCAACATTATTCCTTTTACTAATGTGAGGTTTTACCAACTTGTTCAAACAATTGGAGGGGAAAAAATCTATGACTTTTAGTGAACAATATGAAGCAGTCAGAATGAAAGGACCAATTAAAAGCAAATGTGATCTCTAAACATACTTGCGTTCATGAAGTGAAACAATGAGCTGACGCAGACAGTTTCTTCTGCGATGTTGATCAGGGCAGGCTAACAGGGCTGTAAATGCTTCATCGTGGTGCTGTAACTCGAGGTGATGCTTAAAAATGACAGAATAAAGTGCAGACATGGATGGATGATCACAGGAGGCCATAGCAACACCCTCTTGGGCCACTTGGAGAGCAAGTGCAGGCTGTCCACTCTGCTCCAGCAAACGAATCACACGCAAGCAGTACATGACTCGTAGCTGGTCTGCAGGGGTGTCAACTGCTCCACCTGCTACTTTCACACCTAAGTAATCTTCTGTTACAACCCCTTCCATGGCTGCCACAAGCAACTGTGCAGCTTTTGTAGCCTCTCCTTGGTTTAGTAGTGCAACACCCAACAGAAACTTCCTTGAACAGCTGTTCCATTCACACCATGGCTGGAGAAGCCTGACATACTCTTGAACAGCTCCATGTTGCCCACCCCATACCAGCCATTCAACCAACATGAGGCAACGACTTATGGGCCATGCCAGCTGAGCTAATGTGGTTGACAATGGCATCAAGAGCTGTGCCCAGCCACCATCAACATTACTACTGGCACCTTCTGAAGCCCCTCCAACAGAAGGAGCTATGAGGGAACGTGCTTGGTCCCCTCCACTGCCAAGGAAGTACAGTTCAAGGACAGTGGCTGGACGGCCAGGATTCGGTGGCATTTGGATACCACTGGGACCGTCGTTCAGGGAGAGAGCCGCTAACTGTCGCTTGGCTACTTCCACAGTTCCTTGGCTGGGATGAATCGCTGCTGTGGTTGATACATGCAACAATGCAAAGTATGCCTGAGTGAGAAGTGTAGTCTTTGGGAGCAATGTTGACCGTAACTGAGCTGAGGCTTCTGGTGTCAGACGGCACTGGTGGCCTAGTTGAAGTGCCACCTGTTGGAGCAACAGCAAGTCCCTGCAAAGTTCTAGCCTTCCTTTTGCAATCTGAGCCACAACAGCACTAACTATAGCAGCTCCTGCATGTCCACAAAGAACACCAGACAGTGTCTCGGGCACACATAGACTTCCATTTTCTAGTGTTAGGGCATCAGGCATTCCCATGTCTAACTGTAAAGCATGCAAATATGCCCATAATCCTGGTACTAAACCTGAAACACTTGCTAGCTGTTGAGCTAAGCTGGTGGCCAGGGTAGCATTATCTGCAAGAAGTGATGTAGTAATGGAATTGCCAACTTGATCAGGAGGTTGAAGGTGGTACAAGTCCAGAGTAAATGCAGCTGCTACCTCAGAGGGTACCATCTGTCTTACCAGGTGCAAAGGCTTTGCTAGAGCCACAACAGCAGTGCTCACCACAGTGTCTTCACTCAGCACTCCATCCAGACTTGCCACATTCAAACTTTCCACTGGGGCCAAAGCAACCACCTCTAGGGCATCCATTGGCCGCACCCATGATACCACCTGCTTTCTGACAATTCCAACCAAGTGGTCTGCCCCTACACCAATCACACCAACTGGCTTGTGGCCAACCTGCAAAACAATAATTTCTCTAGACAAACAGCATCACACAGAATCAAACGTAACAGAAATCATAACTATAAACTTCAACTACTTGTTTCAGTAAAACCTGTACCAACCATAAATAAAATCCTTCATGAACTAACCTGATGGTACTGAAGTGTATGCGAGTAGAAAGTTGCCCAAGCCTCTATGGTAATCTGTGTCACCTCCTCTTCAGTGAGGTCAGATGTCAATCTTGACTCCACCTGGTCCCTAAGGGCAGCTTCCACTTCCTCTTGCAACTTCCACATTCCACGATCTATTAATGTCGACATGTCCATGTTTCTTCGGTAAATCTGAAATGCATTAATTATTACATTAAGTCATCTAATATCAATTATATTCTTGAAACTTGTCTCCAAAGTTTTCATATCAATTTTCATTCCTCTGGCTACGATAATAAAGAACAAAATATAAAACAAAGACACACTCACCCCAAGTGCCTTCCGCAAGGTATGTGCAGAAACCTATTGGCATGAAACAATTCCCTCAGGTAGATCTCCCTCGGGTCCAGGAAGGGATCGGTGAGGGCACATTCTGTTCTCTGGGGCGGCTTCCAGCTACCACACTGAGAGAGTCCTGGGGGGTTTTTACATCCCTCTCCCCCCCACGGGTTTTTTTTTAAAATCTGGGGCAATACAGCAAACTGGAAAGATGTATTTCTTGGTTAGTTTATTTGAGGAAACTTTGCCAACATTAAACAGAGAACATGTCCCCTTGAGCTATTTTGGTGGGGTACAGACTGACTGTAAATATGTAATCACTGGCTAGTTATCACATGCACACCATACGTAATCTCAGAAAAAAAATCAGACTTCTACATACAAGTTTTACTGCATTTACTTACCTGTGTTTCATTGTTTGCATCAGTCCACAACGTCCATATATAGGCTGAAGTTACACTGAAGTCAACTAGATCATACTGGGAAAAAGAAAACAAAGAATTAATATGTACAGAAGAGAAACTAATAAAAATATATAATCTTAAACAAATACAGAATGAAGATAATTTACATTTACATAACAAGCCTAACACTGTAATGTATATATAGTTCAAGACATGACAGCTAAACCATGCATACTTCCAAGACACAAAAACTTATTTACTTGAGGAGGATATAGTGTTTTGATGTGACTTAGGCTAATCTGTCCCAAATTTAGGGTTGGCTGATACACCACAAGGAGTTGTTTCTCTGTGAAGTTCAGGAATACGCCAAAGATGCTCTCCTCCCCTTGGCCGTAGCTTCGTATTTGGTGGGCGCTGAGCTTGCCAAGAAAAACTGTCAACCACTTTATTGTTTAGGACTATTCAAAGATATGACCATGTTTGATGTGGCAAATAGAAAATTTAAGGAAATAATAATAATAATAAAAACATTGCATGGATTATATAATGCATACTTAAACTAAAACTTTATGGAAAGAAAATGTACAAATAAATAACAATTCCACAAGTAAGTATACTAACCTCCAGGATTTCAACTTGCGGGCCAGCATTCTGCAGTATTTTCAAGGGCTATCATGTGCAAGAATTACATTGTAGCTTGGAGCAAGACAGGCACGAGAACAGGCGATTCCCATCACGACAGATTCCTATTTTGCTACCACACTCACCAGCTATCTCTTGAACCACAAGGCTGTCACTGTTTTCACAACTTCTAATCTCTGATGAGAGAGTGAAGAAAATGTCAAATGTGATTAGTTGTGTAGCATTCTGCGAGGTTTATTTCAATATTTGGCTTTCAAGATCATTCTTTCTTCAACAATTTTATTTAAATAACAAGATTCTAAAAAATAACAAAAGGGCCATTTTGCCATGGCTAACTTTACAAAAAGAAAAAGATGTAGAAAATCATTTAATTTACCAGAGACCTGAACATTTCCTGGCACAAAACCGGGTAGAAAAGCCTGTATCATAAGAGAGGCCATTCTTGCATGGTCTCTGGAATACTGAGTGATGGCAAGTCATACATCTGACAACAAGCAGAGTTCCACGCTGTCTGTCCAGTACAGAGATACTGCATCCCCTCCCTCACCTGCCAGAAGGTGGGTGCCTGCTGTGTGAGGAAGACCCTCACCTGCACCTATAAGAATTAGAACCTTTCATAATATATATTTATCATTTTTTATTTATCTATTTATGGTTTGTCATTACTATATCAGTTGGACAACAAAACAATCAATTTCTTAACTTACAAAAGTAGACATAATTATTGTGTAGTGTTTGGTCTACATGTCCTAAGGTCTGACTTTGCAACATAATTGTAAACAATTTCTATTGATCATGACTCACCCACTGCACTGCTGTTTAGGATGTGTAAATTATGGTATTCTTTCAGAGTCTGGAATGTCAGCTCACTAAGGATAGAATATGGCTTGCTCTTTGTGACCTGCAATACAAAAAGCATTTAGTTACTGGGTAAAGAAGTGTTGATAAAATATATCATAATTCATCATCAAAATCATGAGAAAACACTTTTGGAGTGACAAAATTATGCACAGATATATAACCAACACATATAACAGTGAAAGCATAAATTACAAATTCATATTTCTATTTCGAAATAAAGAAGAGGAAGAGTGCAAAAGCCGAGATAAAGAAAAAAGAAGAAAACAGAGCCAATAAATAAATAAGGATACATTGATTAAACAACAAGAATAACTACAATAACAAAACTAAATCAAACTTGCCTGTGTGAATTAGGATGCGGCAAACGAATTGCGGTGCACTGAGGACACTGTTGCCAAAAAGGATGTAAACATTTACTGGCGGGTTTCATGTCACTCAACCCTCGAGCACGAGTTGTCTGCAAATCTGTGAAGAAAAGTTACATATAAATACCTATTTCCACTACAGACATTCTTGTAATGGAAAGCAAGTGAATATGGATGTATAAAGGGTTTCATCTGAAGTCTCTTTTTATAAGTTGTATCTTTAAAATTTTAAATTTAAGGGCCCATAAGGTTTCTGAACATTCAATTAAAGCCTGGCAAAGTACCTTGGATCAGCTATATTACTGTTGGCAATACGACTCTACTGCCTGCTCCCATAGTCAGAGTGATGATGACTAATGCCTATGTACGCTAAGCATCCTATACTGACATGCAGTTACATTAGATAATTACAGGCCATTACAAAGTGGCATGGTAAGCTACATAGTACATATTCACCTAATTAGTCCTATGGAATTGCCAACCAATTTATCAAAAGTAGGAACTTTCTACACAATTTTCCACTAAATAAATTCAAACATATGGCATGGAAATTCAGTGTCTTATAAAGTACAGACTTTTCTATGCCTCTAGTAACATTGCTGGGCTGTATATGATAGATACCTGTGTTTGAATATATCACCTGCTAACAAATTACCTTGCTTTAGTTATTTGAGATCACACTATTTTCTTAGCATTCTTCACTTCTTTGGTAAAAAGAAGGAATGAAACATATATAAAAGGGGGCTAATAATAATGAAATAATGATAATGGATCTTTAGAAGTGATCCAATACTTACATTTCATAATCTAAAAAAATTTGTTTGCTTAATTTTATTTTAAATATGTTGCAAATTAGTTATATATCATTTCAAGATAACTAAACATAATATATTTATGTAATTCAATGCTCATATTTTACAAATAAGTGCCATGTGCTACACAAATTCAACAAAAGCTTAGGCTCTCTTTCTCCCATGACAATCCTTATTCCTCATAAATGGGCATATCTTCAATAAAACTACACTTAACCCCTATGATCACCTCATGAATAAATTTGGCTTGAGGGGCAGGTGACCTGAAAATGCCGTCACAAGAAAATTTGTTTCAGGGCTGGGGTGATAGGAATCTGTCATCATGAGAATTTTGGCTGAAGGCCGAGGTGATGGGAATGACTTGCCATAAGTGGACTAAGCTCTTGGAGGGTGATAAGACTTCTTGGAAATTTAGGAAGGGGATTTCACATTATTTCCATCAGTAAACCAGTAGAATGTTCCATCTGTTAGCCATGACTGGAGGAGCGCTGGCTCCAGGGAGGACTATTTCCATGCTCAGGATCCCATTTCTGGCCGCCATGACCGGAGGCACAGGTTGTATTACAGAAAATTGAAGGTCATAAAAAATAAGTGACACAAATTAGCCTACTAAGTGTTGCTTATTATTACTGCACTTGGGATACACCCTAACAGAGAACCTGCATTAAAAGTAGTAGTAACAAAGAAGTAGTAGTTAATCTTTACGGTATGGGTGCACTAAGCTAGGGAAAATTCATGGTGTTCTTGAAGAGAGAGAAAGAAAAAAATTGTAGTCTTCAGTACAAGAAATAATCTGTAGACACAGACAGTCATGCTACGAATACAGGAAAAAGATTACGGAAAGCGCAGCCCACAGCCGAAGTCCACTCAGCGCTTATTTTATCCTGCATACTGAGATGAAGACAGTGTTTTCCATTGAGAAAGGTGTTGGGAGGCAGAGCCCCCATCAACAGAGGAATGAGAGAAGACTTATTGCAATTGAGGCACTTGAACCTTGAAGGGTCCTACTGAGGGGAAGTCAATTAAGAGAGGCAGAATAATGGAGGGTTAATTACATGTTGTAGAGGTAATACTGGGGCAGGGAGTAATCATCCTGGTTTAACTGGTAAACACTTAGTCATTAATTAGTCGCAAACGACTATAGGAATCGTCTTCCCATTATAGCTCCGACACTTAATAACGAACCGCCACCCTTACTCTTCCTAAAATCGACTGCATCCCTTAAAAGAGGGCAATCATACTAAATAGCTGCGATAAATAAAATAAATGCTTGATACCTAGTAGAATAACTGAACATTGGTTGTGTAAGATCCAACCAGGAGATCGCCAATTACAGTAGAGTCAAAAGATGAACTTTCCACCTTCCACCATAGGCGATCCACATTATTTTATGTACCAGTCGCACACACTCGCCTATGAGCCCCTCGCACCGAAAAATAATAATGTATATGAATAATCCTAACAGCTTGACAAATTTATCTATAATATCTTAGCAAACTAAAACACACGAAACAAAAAAATATTCATTCTATAGGACTAATCAGCAATAATAAAATTAAAAACAATGCTAATAATACAAGGGGAAAAAAAAGTAAATAAACTAAACTTAGCTTATTAGTTTAAACATAAAGTAATAAGTGAAGGGAAATTTTGATATTTGTATTCCTCTTCTGTCTTCTCTCTTTTTGTTCCAATCCTAGAACAAAACAAAACCCACCAGAAAAACAAAACAATATAACTTTGTTCCTAACTCGGTGGAGGAAGAAGGTTAGTCGTGTCTACCG